CGCCCGCGCATCCTCCCTGCGCAGCCACGGCCCCTCGCCCCGCTTCTCCTCCCCACCCACCGTGCGTTCGCGGCTGCGGGGATTTGCCCGTTGAGGTGACACAAAGCTGCGGGGGGACAGTTAAGATCTCCCTTTCCAGCTAAACAATAGTCTAAAAATAAACTGGAGGTTGCTGATGGATTTGCGATTACAGGGATAGGATCTTCTGCATTCCTAGGACTGTGTCCATCTTCCCGCTGCCATTTCTCTCTCTGGAATAATATGATCAATGTTTTATTACGAGATGACAGCATTACCTAGCTGCAGGTTTACAAGGTAACAACATGGCCACCATCTTTAAGCACCTGCAGGTAAAGTTTCCAGGTTAAGCAAATCCATATACATCCTCCACGGCAGAGGTTAACAAAAAAAAGCAGCTATAAAAGCACCTTGCTAAATGAAGTCCATCATTTAACAGCACCTGGCAAAACAGTAATTTCTAAAGGCAATTTTACATAACACAACTTTGCTGCTACTGACACAAATGGGACATGTTCCATTTTAGGATAACCACCTACAGAAAAGGTGAGGTTATATCCCATGAACCACCACAGATCCATGAGCTACACTTCCCAGTGTCAATTGCTCTCTTCTGCTGGTCTCCAGTATACTGTACACGCCCATGACTTGCAGGATTAAGCAGCTGGGACCTCCATTAGGCATCTGCTGCTCCAAATCCTTCTCCAGAACATGATCAACTCTCTGTAACTGGATGTATCTCAGCTGTTCTGTAAAGTCTCAGACACCAGAGCCTACAACTTTATTTGACAATCTTTCCTAGTCCTTAAGGGCTTGTCAGGCCCTTACCAAAATCTCCCTTTCTGACATTGAAGTCTACTGGTTGAAGGTCGCCTTGCATTGATGATCAGAAATAGTTCACTGCTACAGCTATTACATTATCAAAGCTACATTAGCATGCAAAATATTCCATACAAATTAATATGAAAAAAAACCCACACTCAACTCTTTGCTCTTTCAAACACAAACTTGTGTGGCAGCTCACTATGACAGGAGTCACCAGATCTCATTTTCTTGTTCATGCACTGCCTTTACCTCCTTCCGTCCTATTTCCACCTCCTTGCATCAGCGGTCACAGCTGGCAGTCACATTGCTGAGCCTTATTTACCTCAGGGAAACTGTACAAACTGCAGTGCCCTGGTGCCTGCATTCAGCATGAGGGAACTGCCAGCACAAGGTAGAGACAGTGGGTAGGAACACTGAGAGCAGGGAGAAGCAGCTTCCCCCTTGGACAGTGGTGAACTGTGATGTTGGCTCCTTTATTTCATAAGCTTCCAGTACCTAATCACAAACATGAAACAATCCTGTTAAGATCCTCTCATGGCTGTTTCCATAACAATAATGTATCAAGAGTGAGGCGATGTAGGCAGGAGGCTTCCAGCAGATCACTGAGCTGAACCAATTCATCTAAATTGGTGTAAACATGGGGAAGGAGGCAGGGAACAAAAAGTAAGCAGACCTAGTCCTTTCATTTATTTGTGTCTCGAATGTAGAAGCCTACTCCTGCTAAATTATGTTGCACCATGCTTTTTGCTGGTGTGAGAATCACCAGTGTATCCAAGATGAACAATGACAGAATCACTTCTGCCTTCAGTGTTTTTCAGTCTTACTCCTTTTTGATGTCCACAGTCCGCATCTGACAATCTAAATTGTTAAGTCATTATAGAAGAACAGGCTCAGAAAAGGGACAAAAACAATGGTTTTATTAAAACCAGAAGCATTCAGTGCTTTTGGCTCTTAAATTTTGCCAATAAGCAATTCACACATACAGAAAGCTAATTAACAGTTTTTCAAGTGTTTACTTTTAAATAATTTTACAACTGATAACAAACAGTTTTAATTCCAAAAGATGTAAACATTTGCTTGTGCAAATCAACTTCTACACACATTATGGCTTCTTACGTTCGTCTCTTGCAACATTATCAGCACCTACAGCATCTACTTAACATTACCCTATTGCTCTAAAAATAAGTTAAAACCATCCTTTCATATCAAGGTAAAACATTCCACTGCTCACAACTGAAAATACTAGGTACCTATTGCAGAATACACTGATGGATTAAGTTTTAAGACTTTTCACTTCTAGAATAAACCGCACATTTATTTTGAATACGTTCTAATAATTCTCCAGTGTGTTTACACATGTCAAAATATAATTTGTTTACCTACTCAACAAGGAAAATATGCTCCAAATTTACTCCAGTAGAAATAAAAAACATTGTTTCAAGTAGAGCTGGTGTAAGGTCCAACTTAAATATCAAAGTCATGCTACAACACACTTAAAACTAAGTAGTAAATAAATTTAACTACCAATACTCAGCATCTCACATCTGTTTTGTTTTAAACGTCTGAGAATATTTTTTAAAACTTGGTACTTAGTTTAATACTGAAAAAATTGTTTTGGAATGTGCAGCACATTTTTAGAAGCTGAGATAATCAAATATGAGATCTAACATACATTTGTAAAAATGAGTTTTGTTTTAGAATTCAAATTTGGCTGAATCAAGCAGCATTTATAAAAGTTTCAGTAAATGCAAAAAACCTCAATGTAAACCAAATTGTTATTTGCAAAAGTCCATGACTCCTACAGTTAAAAATTTAAAATACAAATAATTGGAGCTAAAAAAAAATGAATCATACAAATTTAGATTTTCCAAAGGTTAACCAAGCTACATTTAGCTATCATATTAAATCTTACAAATCTACTGGCTTTGCAGCTGGTAGAAGTTTCACTTTAGATATTGGATTCTTTGGAGAGCCTCTGTAACAAACTCTTTCTTTTCCTGAAGCACTTCTTGTGATTGTTGACTTTCCTGGGGCAGCACCTGGAATATTTATATTTGCATTAACTTTTAAACCGGGTTTCACTGTCTCATGATTAGTTAGATCTTCTAGAACAGACTTTGATGGATGAAGAGTCTCTCTCTGTTTGTGGATTCCAGCAGTTCTGACAGAAACACCAGACTTGCCCGATGGATTTAATGGTGGGCAACATGACTTGGATGCTAAGTCTGGCTGCTTATGAAATATAGACACCTGCATGTATGTACTTTCACTTCCAAGGGGCAAAGCCACAAAATTTGAGGGCTTTTCAGTGCAGGAGGAGAGTGCAGAATCATAGCTCAAAGATTTAACAAGTGGTGAACCAACACCACTGGCTTTGAGCAGCGGAGAGCTCACAGACCGCCTGTTAGCCTCCAGTAGGGAATTGATTCTTCTTACAGACTGCCTGACAGGAGTACGCTGAAACTTCAGGGGTGCTTTGCTTTTGCTTGAAGAACTCGGATCATTTACGGAAAGCTTGTTGAACCATTGTATGTGGTCAGAAACAGTTGATGTTTTAATTAAAGTTTTACCAGAATTTTCAGCTTGCAAGTATTGGTTGCCTACTTCATTTTGTGATTTAGGCAGCTGTGATGCAGGAAGCTGTCCTGCTGCAGAAAGTTCAGCAGTATCTTCTTCCAAATTACAGATTTCTACCATACACTTTTCAGCTGTTTTTGAGTGTGTTAATTCTATTTCCTCTTTTCTTCTGAAGGAATCTAATTTGTTGAAGTCATCTTTTGATGAAGTGTTCTGAACAGTCCACTTGTCTTCCCTGGTCAGTACTTGAGGCACAGGAAGTTCTGCTGTATTTTTTATACCTGGTTTTGGGACCTGAAGTTCAATCTCAATAGAAGTTTTGAAGTTTTTCTCCAAAATTTTAAGGTCATCTTTTTTTAATTGCTGTTTATCAACAGCATGAAGTTGATTAGATTCTTGCAACAGCTCTCTGGCTTTTGTATTTGCTAGATTTTCAGAAACTTCTTCAGTCAATCCTTTCTCTGAACTGAGTCCCAGAAGGCACAGAGCTTCATTTAATGTTTTGCTTGCTACATCTGAGAAGGAAGATGTTTTATCACCTATCACTGGATTACTTCCAGATGCAGTGAAGGCTTCCTTGACTTTCAGTAATGTTTCTGCAGTTGAACTATTTTCCTCTTCACAAAGCAAAATTTCTAAGCTGTTGTCTTGCTTGCTTACAGTTGTAGATTTGAATTCATCTGGAACAACTGGCAGCTTTCCAAATATCAAACCAGATTCTGAAGAAATGATTCCCCTTTCAGGGTGTCCTGGCAGAATTCCCTCATTCCTGCCAATTGCTTGTGAATCTGTAACAGTAGGACTATTCCATGACATTCGGTGAACTACTTTATCGTGATATTTTGGAGTTAGCAAGTTTTCTTCTGACTTGCTCACATTCTTTGATCCTTAAAATAAATACCACAATGCTTAAAAATATTATCTTGCCAATTTAATGATCATTATAGGCAAACTTCTTGCTAAAACCCACTAATTATTAAAGTTGCACTGAGTTTAAAGATGTCATTACTCCTTGAAAAAAAGATCTTTAAAACCAGAAAAAACTTGAAAAGATTGTAACATTAAGAACTGAAATCGCAACTCACCTTGCTTAACAAAATAGAACTACTAAAATGCAATAGAAACACAACTGTCCTAATCAGATTTTTTTTTCCCCTAGAAGCCACTAATGTTCAAGTAACTATTGTCCTACTAGCTAGAAGCACTTTCAATCTAATTGCTTTTATACCTTTATCCATAAAGTTACCTTTGCTTCACAAAAGAAAAAGTTTTCCCCACCTAATATATTCTGTTAGATATTCACCTTTCTTAGGGAATTTTTCACCAATACATGGGCTGAAGAGTACATCCCCTTTTGTACATTCATTTCTGCTTTCCAAACCTTGTTGACTTGCAAGACGCCTTCCAATATTTTCAGATCTATTACCAACCACGGATCCCGACGCAATATTCTTGAACAAACAAAAATATGTTAATTAACTACTTTCACATCAACTTGCAAATTAGAATCTCATTTAGAGAGGAACCTCTAGGAAAAGGCTATGCATATTTGCCATAGCAGCCTTTTTATGTCCATACTTCACCTCCCCCTCCATTCTCTACAGACCCAGCGAGGGAAGAACCCACCTGCAGTACGGTAGGCTCAGCCACACTCTGAACATAGGTGTTCTGTACTATCAGAATTTCAGGAACTGTAAGACCTACTTATCACAAGTGTGGTGGATTGACCCCAGCTGGCACGTAAACTCCCAGCCAGCCATGTGCTCACTCCCCCCACTTCCCAGCAGGATGAAGGAGAGAATTGGAAAGCCAAAAGGAATGAAGGGAATAGAAGAGAAAAAAAAAAAAAAGACACACAAACTCCTCCAAACCCACAACTGAAAAGCAATCACTCATGACAAGTAGGCCAATGCCCAGCCAGCCCCTCAGCACTGGCTTTTTTGCAGTACTTCCCCCACCCCAGTTTGATTGGTGAGCGTAACTTTACGTGGCATGGAATAGTTCCTTGGTCCCTGCCCAAGCCTCTCTCCATCCCAGCCAAACCCAGCAGATGCCGATGAGTTACTGCTATGAAAATAAACCCAGGGCATCTTGTACTTCAGACCAGGTCCAGTTATGTTGTGATCCCTCCACTGCCAAGTAAGTCCTTCCTGCTACTGAAGAACAGTGCCCAAAACTTCGGATTAAAACGTGTACAGTAACAGTACCACTGGGCCAGAAACAGAACACTTACCGTTTCTCTGCTGCTTTTCCCCAAGCCAAACTTCAAGCGTAAAGACCTACGAACCATTTCTTTTCGGCTAATCTTTGGAGAAAAACAACCTGTCTTTCCTGATTCAGCCCTAGGAGGACAGAGGGGAAGAAGTGACACATTAAAAAAAACTCCACCTCTTCAGGAGGGCAATGAAAACACCCTGACAGTTGTTTATGTTGTTACTTCCTCTGTTTTTACTACTTTTACTGCCTTCTAGCTGAGCTTTTTTAATATGTACAGAAGACTACTATACCAGATCTTACTTTGTTTTGAGATCCACTTTGCCATAGTGGAAGAACTGCTTGATTTTAAGGTTCCTATTGAAATCTGGTATGTTCTGAACACCAAAAAAGATAATTTTAAAGACAGATTAGTATTTTACATATCATTAATCAGGGGGTCCAGATCTACTTTCCAGCTGATCTTCAGTTTCAGATTGTTAATGCAAATTACCTGTATAATTTCTTGCTTGTATGTCTTTTACTTCTTCTGTTGCCTGTACTAGAGAGATGAATTTCACCACCAGTTGAAGGAGACAGTGAGGTTTGGGATGACTCAAGAGACACACAAGGGCTTGCTTCAAACTGAACTACAGGAACAAAACCATATTTAATAAAATAAATACAACTGAAGTAACTGTTAAGTCTTAAAAAAAAAATATTTTTTTCCAATAAACAGCACAGATTTGTTTGCTTATTTTGTGGCGTGCTGGCATGAAATCAGCTTGACTTCCACTTTAATATTAAATGAAACAGTTGCTTGTAGCATCCATAGAAGTGGCTGGATTGCTATTAATTGCATGCTACTGGTATCACAACCTCAGTAAAGTTTCCACACCACTATCATCAGATCAGTTTCTCAAATTTAAGAGCTTAATAATAAAAATTAGATTGTATTATTATTATTTGCAGTGTGCTTTGTCAAATACCAAGCCACAACAGTTAACAATGAGAGTCTCTACTAAATTTTTATTAAACAGATGCATTACTACTATCTTTAGAAAATGTCATTGCTCTGGTTTGCTTACCCATAGAAACAGGAAATTATTATTATTTGCAGTGTGCTTTGTCAAATACCAAGCCACAACAGTTAACAATGAGAGTCTCTAGTTTACTACTAAATTTTTATTAAACAGATGCACTACTACTATCTTTAAAAAATGTCATTGCTCTAGTTTGCTTACCCATATAAACAGGAAATAATTTCATGCTCACTATGCAATTAATAAACAAAAGCAAGAAGTTTTATACTATTCAACTGAGGAGTAAAAAAAAAAAAAAGATTGACGTTCAGGCAAAATAAAAATTTAGATTGGCCAGCTTCAGCTAGCAGCACATTAAGGAACCAAACAAAAATAAGAGCCTGACAGTAGCACTCTAGTAGAATGAAGCAGTATTAAAGCATTGTCAAATAAAAGTAAAACTTCTTCTATAGTATTTTGAGAATGTTTAGCTTATAGATAAAACAAGAGGTAACTGGATTCAAGGAAGAACCTTTACAATAACAGCAATTACATTTCACATAGAGCTAAGACCAGCTATTCAAGTATTTAGGAGACAGAAGGTGGCTACTCTTTCAAAAGGTTGGAAAAATGGGCAGCCTTCATGGATTTGGGTGCTAAGACAAATGTGAGTGTAACCTAGGTGACACAGAGGGACTGAAAAAGCTAAGAGACTTCAGGACTGCAGATTTCAGAGGTCTTACAACAGAAAACTAGAAACAGAGGTTTGTTTTTTCTCAATCCATGTAACATGACAGTCACTAATGAACATAAAGAGACTATTTACTAAGACAGGAAAGGAGTGAAAGGAACACTCTTAACTGAAAATTATCAATGGCTACCTAAAAAGAGCGTACCTTTAAATTAAACACCACAAACAATCAATTCAAGCAGCAAGGAAAAAAAATTAAGATACTGTACCTGATGCTGGTGTTGAGCTGCTGTTAAAAATGCTACTTGGTAAAAACTCAAAAGCAAAACTATGTTTAAAAGATCGTCTCTTCTTGCTGGACAAGCCCTGAGAGCAATCAGCTGGAAGCTTACGCTTCGTACTTGGAGTAAGAACCACTGGAGTCACAGATGAAAAGACTGAAATTAAGAAAATGAAAATTTGTAGTAACAGCTTAAAAGTTTGAGAGTTCGCTAAAATATAAACAATTGTTTTGCTTGTTTGTTTATTTAAACTCTGAAAGAAAAGGTTGTAAAAGCTTAGCCAAAGTACATGCATTTTGAACAGGCAAAGCAATCAGTATAGCTTAGATTTTATTTTTGTTTGTTTGTTTTGTTTTTTCTTTTTAATAGGCTGAAGTATCAGAAAGGAAAATCCCAAACCACATAATATAGGCATTAGGAGGAAAAATAAAGTACAGTCATCTTCTGTAAGTTTAAGAGACAGAATATAAGTGAAAGCATCACAGTTCTGGCAAATTCCTTCTCAAGATGATAAAAAGCTGCATTACTGCATGGAAGCCTTACTGTGAATTAAATAAAGCAAGTTCAGTTGTGCAGTCCTAGAACTACACAGCCCATTGCTGCAGCGATTGTAGTTGCTCCAAGAAGTTGAGTAAATGCAGTATCCTCAGTAAATATGTATCTATATTCAAAGCTTTAAACAATTTAAATGTAATTATTAAGTTATAGTTCCTCAGTTTAAAAACCGTGGAATATAGGTGACAAATCCAGAAGATACTGCATTGGCTTTATTTAGTACAAATACACCAATACCTACCGCTTCTGTTTTGTTGAGGTGTAGTGGAGGGTGTTCTGTTAGATTTAAATTTACTCAGTGCTCCACTAACTATATCTGAAATGCAAGACACAGCAAGCAGTCAAATTTAAATAGGAAGCCTGTCTTGCTCTATTTTCAATTCAAGTTTAACTTGTATTTCTTCAGAGAGAAATAAAGCAAATCAGTTTAAATGGTTGTTTTAAGAAAACTGTAGTCCAGGTCTTCTCACCAACTTAGCTTTGGCTGCTTTCACAATAGCTATTATTTTTGAGTTTTGAAAAAAAAAAACAAAAACAAACAAAAAAAAACAAAAACACCAGAAGTTCCTTGTAGAAAATTCTTCCAGTAATTATAAAAGTATATACCTTCTGATTTCTAGTAGGCAAACCTAGAAGGTATCCACTGAAGTCTTTCTCACAGAAAATCTCACAAACTTTCTCACTTTACTGCAAAGTCACCTTCAAGCTGAAAAGCTCTTACAGCTTTGAAGTTAGGCCCAAATTTTGGTCTTGCAAAGAAATAACATCCTGTGAAACATGTGGGTTTGTCTTCAGGTATTTGGTTTGAAAGGCAAAACTAAACCTATCAAAATATATACACAAGATTTAAACTGGTTTTCCTGCCTTTACTAAAAATACTTTAATATTTCTAAGTGCTCCACCAACCTATAGTTTTATTTCCATGTTTTCATAGCAAAGCTTAGCAAACTACAAGCCTGTGGTACTACTTTTATGGTGTCTGGTAGATACCAAGTAGTTTTAAAAACTCATCTTTGAAAATAAAGTGTAGCAAAGCTATGTTTTTCCTCTAGATGCAGTAAGAATAGAAGCTACTTATTCCACAAAATTAACCAATTCTGACTGCTTCTCCTCAAAATTTTCATATTCACATTTATCCATTTTGCAATTCCAGGATGATCTCTCCTCTTCAGAGTAGAAAAGTACATTATACAAAAAAACCCATTCCTTAGCTAAACATATGGAATTATAAATCCTTAAACCTGACAGCAATTGAAATTAATATTCCAAGTGCAAAAGCTAAACACATACTTGTGTTTTTACAGAAATATGTATGAATTCAGTGTTATAGTGGATTTGAATCAAGTCAAGCATATGCATTCCATAGGAGTTCCTCAAAGAGAATGTAGAAGAACAGAAAATATACCATTTGATTATCCATATTTGGCAAAAAAAACTGATCCCTATTGAATAGTCCAATTGAAAAGAAACACCACAGATGCATGACCTAAGAGCACACAGTATCCAGTAATATTCAGTGTACAGTTACACTTCAAAACACAAGTTAGTGACTCTAATTCAAAACACACACCATGTATATCCTTGCCTTCTCATGACCTGACTTACTGAAGTATGCAATAACTTTCGGTGTCCAAGTATCATTTAAAAAACAGCAAAAAAAAAAAAAGTTTATCAGTGTTCTGCAACAGTATTTTAAGTTGACTAATGAAAAAAAATGGAACATTACTCTGGCTTCACAAATTTGAACAAAAGCAAAACAACTTCTTTGGTGGACAACAGATGTAGTAGAATAAACTCAGTAAACATACAATAAAGTGGTGTGAAGTCTTACGTACATTTTTGCAATTCACACCCAAAAAGTTTCACAGACATTTATTCTGCTTGTGGAAGAAGCAAGTGCTTAGGACCTGCAAACCTCAAGTCTCAAAATAATTCTATTTTAGTTGCTGAAACTTCCACCCAACACACCTACCCCCAACACTTCGGTGCCTCCTCTTCTTATATTCACTGGGAGATTCATTTTCACTGTCTTCGTGGCCCCACAGTGAGGGAGTAGATTGAAAGGCATCAACACCTAACATTGCAGGAATCTTCTCCAAGATAAATTCTGGTACTTGTCCTGAATTAGTTAGGAAACATTGTTTTTGGAAGTTATTTAAAACGTTGATAAGAAAAAGTGTCTTGTTGCACATACTTGTGCACATCTTGATAGACACTTATCTTACCAATTTCTGCCGCATGCTCAATAAGTGTTTCCACAACAGCAGCTTGCAAGCGGATTTTTTTTTCCGTGCTGGCTGACATCTTTTCATTCTCGTGCGCGTGCAAGAGGTTAGGAGCAAAAATCACTGCCAGATTACTGCTATCCATCCTGTTCTCAGTGGATCTTAACAAGAAAAGGTTAGGGTAGTTTTTTTTAGACAAATTATCAGGACATAGGCAGCAGAGAGAGAACAGAACAAATAGGACAAACGCATTGGGGAAAAAAAAAATACAGTCATTCACTTGAGCGTTCACATACTGAGATTAGTGTGTAGGCTTCTACACCCCAGGCTAGGAAGTCACGTGACTATTATCGGAATCAAGAAGTTATAGACCCTGGTCAGTTTTGGGGAATGCAAGCTATCAATTAGTTTATGTTAATTTTATCGGTTGCTCCCCTCTGCTTTCAGAAGAAGATAAGGAATACAGCTATGAAAGATTGGAACAAAGTCAAGTCTCAGGAAAATAAAGTTTCGTAAAGAAAATATTTTGTATTTATGAAAGAAAAAACATGGAGTGAACTCTAGTGAAGGACTGTAGATGAAGTTTGAAGTCACAAATCAGTCACAGCAGTTGCCTTGAAAGAGAAGTCATTAAAAGGAACTGGAAGCTCTTTACAAGCACTCTCTTTACACTGACCTTAGGGACACAGTTCTCAGAAAGTTGAAAAAGTATCTCAAAGCTTCAATTGTTCTCTCTGCCATCAAACAGGACAACAACACAGTTGCAGTTTTCTTCTCGTTTCCTAGCTGCTGAGCTTTGAGAAGGCCCTCCTGCAGGTGAGGTGGAAGGATGGGTTCTGGCAGCTCTCTAAAGAACTGTTTAAGGAGCCCTGCAACATCACACGGCAGTGCAGCTGAGAGGCAGTTTTCACCTTGATCCAGTTTACTCTGGAATTGTTCATAAGAAACATGTTTTAAAGTCTTCAACATAACATCAGATTTCTAAGTTTAGGCACTAATTCTCTATCCCCTACCAGAAAAGGCAACCAGATCTTCCAATATTAAAATGGGAATATGACTGAATAGAGTCCAAAAAATAAAACATGCAGTTGAGCAAGTGAAATGAAGGTTATTAAAAAGAGGCTTTGGAGAATACCTTTAAAGCTTTTAAACGAACAAGAGATCCAGACTTTCTGAAGAGTCCCTCCGTATGAACATGTTCTTCCAGATATTCGCAAGTATCAACAAGGAAGCTGAGAAGAGAACAGTAACATATTCCTGACACTCAGAGAAAAGCTATTTCATGATAAATAGATAAAATATAGAGGACAGTTTTCCCCAATTACAAGAAACCTAAGGAAATACAACTGAACGATAGCTGTGGCTCTGAAATTCCCATCTAACTTCTGCAATCCTCCTTCCCCAACTGGAACTGTATTTACATCTCCCATAAGCTGTAGCAGGTCTGGAATAAATATTACATTACCTTTTATGACACGTGTTCCATACTATATACAGTGAAGTAAACATAAATTTAAATATGCAGTATTAACTTACGTTGGAACATAACCATATTCTGGCACAAGTGATTGCGGTAACGCACGAAAAGATACTCCAAATATTTTACCCTAAAATACAAAATGAAACTAATGTTATTCAGAAGTTGATAGAATTACCAACTACACCTTACAGAAAAAACACCTATTTCACAAACAGAAATGTAGTTAAGACAAAAAACAAAGTCTTTCAGATAAGACAGATGAGAGATATTGTCAGGAAAAACACCATCACCTCTAGATACCTGAGCCTGTGCTGACTCTAGTCACAGGTAACGCCCGAGACTACTCTGAAAGAATAGGAAGGTTTTCTGCAGTACATTTAGCACTTTATATTTTACAAGGAACCAGTTTTCTTAGTTTCCCCCAAATCAGTATGGAAATCAGACTCTTCTGGAAACTCACCTTCTCACATTGACTAAATGCTAATTTTCTTCAAAACCAACACAGCATATTTTGAAGAAAAAAAAAAATGAACAAAAAAAATTGAGACACTCAGCACTGCTGTTTCATGGAGTATTAAATTCAACAGAATAGTCTAGAATTTGAACTCCCACATTTAGCATTTGCATTTAAGAAATTCCTACCACTCTATTGCCTTATAGCAAGACATCAGATTATCTGTTACATACTAGAAAATGAGCAAATTCTCCAGTCATTACTACTGATGCTCATCAACAGTGTTTTAAAATGTTTTTTCGAGGTTGCTGAACAGTTGTCTTAGTTATAGAAGCCCACATTTCAATGTAACTACTTGTACTTTTACTTCTTGGCCCCACTTCTTTTCTATTTACATTCACAGAACATGGAAGCCAGCCCCGCCCCTAACCAGAACAGGGTGGGGATCACAGACGAATGCAAACACTTAGTCATTTATACCTAAAATTCAAAGTGCTGACCATGTTGGGAAAATAGTTAATCAATAACTAACCCATTAGACCACTTCGGGCCATCCTGTCCTACAGAAAACAAGCAGATCATGATAAGGAAAGAGAAGCAATGTGTTCTTCATTGTATTCCAGGTTGCTACTAGAAGTACAAAAAGAAAACTAACTCCAAGATTTGTTTTTCTCTATTTACAAGATTGCATAATAGAGAATTCCATTCATAACTGATAGCCTCACTTTACTAGGGATTTTGCAAAATATCACAAGTTATGATTTAAGTTCTTAAAGTTATGTCCATTCCGTTACAATAGAAACCGAATGCTCCCTGGCAAAATAGATGTTATTGTGTACCTTTTCCTACCTTGCTCAGCTGTGATTTAAACACACATTTTCTTCCTTGCATAGAATTGAAGCACTACGGACAGCTATATAGACACCTTTTATTATGACATAGATACTCTATTTACAGTTTCTATTACCTTGCCTTTAGCAGAAAAAAATAAAGTCTAGGACCATATGTTTGATAATAACAAGGGGGAGGAAACCAATTCTAACTTCACTCTTGCTCTCTCCCTCTCCAAAAGACCCAACTCAAGCACAGGTTTTTGCAACTTCTTAGCCTTACACTGACCAAGGGTAACTGCAGTATTTTGTGGTATTTTCTCAGCGATCCACGCCTTATTATGTTAAGAGTTTACCAGAAGATCCATGTTCTGAAGTGGACTTCAGTTAAGCATAAACTAGCATAAAAGACACTATGCTTTTAGAAACTATAGAATAACTACGTGTTCCACAAAATAATACGAAGACCGAGATTTAAATTCCACCGCGAATGACGTTAAGCACAGTAAAGCATAAAAAGCTCCTGCACAGTCCAGAGGGGCGCCCGAGACACTAAGGCACGCTGACAAGCCGAGGCACAGCTCTTCTTCCCCCTGCTCTGCCTTACACCCCGACCGGGGGGGCCACCGCTCAACCGCTCTCTCACTAACCCCCGGCGTGGCTCTACCGACGGCTGCCCGAGGCGCTCGCCGAACGAGGAAAAGAGGGAGAAAACCCGACTTTTCCCCTCTGCGGCGATTAAGACGCTCCTCACGGGGTGAGATTACAGCTTCGCGGTAACGCCACTGCGGCCGCCCCGGCGGGGACAACAGGCCAGTTC